AAAAAAAAAAAAAAAAAAATCACTGGGTTCCCCACTGCTCTTCCTTAAAAAAAAAGTTTTGTATATAAATTACACGTTATGATTTTCTAAGTGATGCAGGAAAGGGATAACGTTTTTCTAAGATCAAAGCAAACGGGTCTGGAAGCCGATAAATGAAGAAAACGGAGGCAGGAACCAGAAGAGAGTGAGCATCTAGCTTTAACTCTGATTAGGTGAATTACATGAATAACCTTAAATACGAGGGGAGAAATCTGTATGTTCCCTGCTGGTCCCGGACAGTGGCTGGGCACCAGGTGGCTACTCCTTTACTTTTGATAAAGTTCAATGTGTGAAATGAGCATTTTTCTCACGACTGGTTGCTAAAAGCTATGGTCTAAAGCACTTGGAATCATGAGACGTTATCCATTTTATGAATTGTTCATTCTGCCAATACATTTTTTAAAAGTACAGCACTAAGAAATTCATCATTCCTTAAAAAGCCCGTTTTTATCAAGTGTTTGTTCTACTGGATGTTTGGTGTTTTCGGCAGACACACTCTCAGCTCGCTGGAGTTGGTCTGTGGGGTACGTGTTGAGTCCCCATTTGCAAAAAAATGTCTCAAACAGAAGAGCCCCACGTAGTGAAGGTACAGCTTCCATTACAGGCCCAACGGACACAAGTTAATGAGATCACCCCAGCTCGGTGTGAGCACACACACCGCTGCGCGCTCCAGCTGTGCCCACCTGAGGACCACGCCATGGACTTCTACAGATTTCCCCAGGAACCCAGGCTCCTGGTAGGAAGCCACTGCCTAGGTCTGTTCACTGAGTCAGGCAAAAAAAAAAGTAAAAATTGATAAAACCAAGCAATGCTCATGGCTCAGAGAGATTAGGGCCCTTGGGAGTGTGGACACTGTTAAGCACAGGAACACGCAGGAGAAGCAGGAAAGTCTGAGACCTCGCTCACACGCCTGCGTGGGCCGGTGGCCTGCGGACGGCGGGACGCAGGGGGGCTTCTGACCCGACTTCCCGCACAACTGGCCCTCCCTCCTCCTCACAGGAGCTGTGGGCACCAGGGCCTCCGAACCCAGGGCGGTGGTACCTCCCCCCAGGCTTTTCCACACACTTGACCTCAGCTGGCTTCTCAGGACAGAGCAGGAAACCGTGTGAAGTCCACCTGTCCACCCGGACCGCCCTGTCCCTGTCCTCACTGGTACCGCATCCCAACCTCCCAAACGTGTCCTCCCACCAGAGACCTCGGCCCCCGCACACGGCTGTCCTCACGCCCGGCCACCACCCAGAGTGACTCCCGGCCATGCCGAGGGCCCAGGTTTCCTTAATGCGTGTCACCTTCACCTGGACTGGCACCTCGTCTCAGACACCAGGGACCTTTATGGCCCTCACTCATCCCTTTTCTGCCTCCAAATAACACTTCCAGTATTTCCTTGGTCGGCCTTCCCTTCAGTGTGCTCGGTATACGACATTCTTGAGCCCACGGCCGCCTGGCCAGTCCCGTCCAGTGGGCCTGTCCCTCTTTTGCTCCCTCCCTAACCAGCTCAGACCCCAGGGGCCTCCTCCCAGCAGCAGCACTCTGAGTAACACCCACCGTCCCTTCCCACTGCCGGCAGCTGGCGAAGGGCCACCCCCGGATGTGCCCAGCTGGACTCAGCGAGGCCGAACAATCGTAGCACTGTGGGGAAGTCCTGCACCAGAGGGGCAAGGCTGGCACGTGAGGTCCAGAGGGGTCACTGTCCTCAGCATCGCCAACCCCCTCACGCTGGCCCACCAACCCTCCCACACCCACAGCTGACTTTCCAAATCGCCCCCCCTTTTCCAACTGCAGCCGTCCACCCCACCCTCAGCTGCTAGCCCCCTCCCACCTCACAGCCAGTGTGAAAACTCCACGGCACAGGCGCAACCACACAGACACCTGCCCTCCACCCAGCTGCCCTCCCGGCTCCGGACACCCTCGAGCCTGTGGCCTCACGTGCACCCTCTTGGGCCCCCCAGAAATCTTTTGCTCCCCGTTACTGTCTCACCTATTGGCTCCCTACTGGCTCCCAGGCAGGCTCACGTTCCCAGTCAAACGCACTCTCCTTCCACCCTGTTTCCTTCCTGCCCTGTCTCCCTCTCTCCCCACTGTACCCCCACCTCCAAGCCCAAAGTTCCAGAAAGGTCTGTCCACACCGGCTCCGTCCCTCACCCCACGCACCCTGAAGCAGCTGTGGCTGAGGTCAGACACCTGCGTGTGCTTCCTGAGCGCGGCCGCCTCTCCTCCGAACACCTCCCCGCGCTCATGACCCCGCAAGCCTCCCTGCCCGCGAGCTCCCTCGGGCTGGCTCCCGCCTCCCCCACCTGTGTGAGTTCACCCGCGCCTGTGGCTGCCGCCTGCACGGGAACAGTCTCCGGCTGAGATTCCCAGGTCCCTCCTCTGAGCTCCCAACGCCTGCGGCCAGCTGCCTACTGTGGGTACCACACAGAGCTTCAGGGGCTCAAACCAAGCTCAAGGCCTGACCCTGCACGTGGTCCTCTCAGGAGCTGCACCCCAGTGAAGGCCTCTCTCCGCTCCCTCCCTCCACGAGGCCTTCCTATCACCTATTCCTGCCCCGTGTCCCCTCTGAACCCAAGTGAACTCTCCCCTCTCCAGCCCCAGGTCAGCCCCGCTTCCCGGGAGGCCTTTCCTGAGCCTGTCAACAGTCAACAGTCAGTCCCTCCCCATCTGCACTCTGTACCACATCCCCTCCTTTAGGGCCACACCTTGAACAAATGTCTCCTCCCCCAGTGGAACGTGAGCCCCACGAAGGTGGGAAATGGGAACATTTCTCCGTCTCCACTGTTTGCAGACCCAACACAGCGCCTGCCATACAGCACGTGCTCAGTAAGTATCTATAAATAAAATAACGACAAGAGCATACATTCCTGTCCTACACATGCCTTCCACTCGGCTCGTGTCCCCAGTTACAGGTCCCTTGTCCAACCAGTGTAATCAAAATACTGGAAAAAAGAACTTTCTAAATGGACAACCCCAGTATTACAGCGTTGTTGGTGCAAACAGAAGATCCACAGAAAGGAACCTCGCCGTGGTCTGACCACAAATCCCTCCCTGGGCAGGTCTTGGCGCAGGTCATGCCCCAGGCCTGTAACTTCTTTAGTAAAAGGTTCACCTTTGCCTTAAGCAGCCCTGTCCATTGTTGTGTGCCTCTAGGTTAACACACCTTTGAAATAAGTACACCACCCTCAAACCAGCACTAAATGCATAAAAGAAAGCACAAAACTGTCACTCTTGGGTCATCTGAGATCTTGCGTCCTGGCAGATATGGTCACTTTGGCTCAAATAAAATCTTACAAAAATTCTTTACAGGTTTAGAATATGGCAACAACATAAAAACATGCTGACTTCAAAAAATTTCTCACCTCCAAACCACACTGAGGCCAGAACCAGCAATTCAA